AATAATGTTTGAAAATAAATAGAAACTGCCCCTCATTACATAAATAAAATAACTGTTATTTCTACTTACATTGATTTTCCCCTCTCATTAACAAAAAGTAACTGGTTACAAGTATGTTACTTACTAGTTCCAAACTCTAGTGACACAGACTTGTAGTATGCTCCTTATTGTTATTTAATTGTGTGTGTGTATGCATGTCTGTGCATCTTTTTAAAAAAGAAAATGCAACAGCAGAAAGGACAGGCCGAGGTGGGTAGCTATAGGGGAGGAAAAATGAAGACATTGTATACCACATAAGAATTCTGATTTCTCTCCATGAATTTTTTTCTTCATTCTCCAAATTTCTAGCATTCAAGAAAATGAAACAAAGAAAATGGCTCATGTTTAGAACTCTTATATTTGCTGCATTCTCATTCTCTTGGTAATTTTGTCTGTCCCTTTTGATTAGATGCCTAAATTGAGGTACACAGCAGTAGCCACTCTGCAAAATAGCCTGGTCTTCATATATCTATATTTGGGAAGATGCATTGAGCATGTATTTCATGGCAACCCTGCAATATAGTTCAGTGTTGTTCCCAACATGCTTGTGAATGCTAAACTTTTAAAAAGAAATGTCATTTAGCACACCTTCCCTCAATACAGAAGGAAGCAAACTGTCAAAAGAGACATTAATTGTGCTGGTAGTATGGATCTGGGAAAGTTAATTGTATTCTAGTGGGGTTTGGAGGAGGTTATAGGAAGATGCTTGTGTTTGTGTTGATATTGATCTCAAAACCAGGCCAAGGTAAAAGAATTTATGATCCCGTAGTTGCTTCCACAATCAGCATCACAGTTCCCTGCATGTCCTTAAACTAACAAACTTGAAATAACCATGCATAGCTTGAATGCTTTAAAATACCCCAGTAGATATTTGTCACCACCACTGCTCTCTAAATTATCTGTTCCATTTCTGCCTATGAGTGGCTTGCTTGCCCTACAAAATGTCACCCACAAAAAACATCTCAGGTCACAGCAATTATTAGGTCAATTGCCTCCCTTCAAACTTCTTTCCAGTCTAATCCAGTACTCAAATGCACACTGAAGGCTCATGTTCAACCAACATGCAGCCACAGACACATAGCACTTTTTGTAGACTGTCAAATGACTGCACTGAATCAATCCTCATGTTGCACACTTGAGCAATTTTGCACTCTTGGCTTTCTTCACTTCTATGGTGATAATTTTCTTCATTGCTACCAGAAAAAATAAGAGGTGCAAGAAGTTAAATTGCTAAAACTGTTTATAAATCTATGGACACAATCAGACATCTGTTTGCTTATCTAAATCTGTATTAGTTGCTGTTGTTGTTGTAAACTGCCCTAGAGCTGTCCCTGACTCATGGAGACCCTGTGAATGAAATATATCCAAGCCCCCCTATCCTCCCATGTCTCATGTGCCTTAAATTTGATTCCAAATTATGGCACCCCTGTCATGAGTTTTTCTTGGCAAGATTTCTTCAAAGGATGTTTGCCATTGTCTTATTCTCAGGCTGAGAGAGCATGACTTCCCAAGGTCACCCAGTGGGCTTCAGTGGCTGAGCAAGGATTCAAAACCTGGTCTCCCAGAATCTTCCACCAACACTCAAACCACTATGCTATGATGACTATGCTTAAATATTTGTTAAATCTGTATATTTCACTTTATATATCATGAGACCACAGAGTAGCATAGAAGTAAAATTGGTTTCATAATTAAATCCAGTTAAAATTTGAAGTATTTAAATAATTTGAACAGATTAGAAATACATTCAACAATTTAACAAGTGTAAACAGCTTAAAAGATTAAGCATGTACAAATACATGTAGATAGAGGAAATGAGTTAGGCCCCAAAGGCTTTAATAAAAAGCAGGTTTTTACTTGGCATTTGAATGAAGCACCACACTTCCATGGGTAGGACATGACTCAGATGAGGGTACCACAACTGAGAATGTCTTCTCATGTGTTGTCGTATAGTGTTTCACAATAAACCAGAATTCTTTAGAAGACAGAGTTCTGGCACAAGCCAATCACCCAATCACTCCTGTTGCAAATGGGAGTGACTAAACAAACCACAGACATTTTTTAAAAAAATGATTTAAAAAATTAATTTTTCTTTAAAAACTTCACATTTTAACCAAATCTTCCCTATGCATATGTAAATGTATTTACACTGTGCATATGATATTGTAGTTTGAAGGTATAATTTTAATTTTGCTAGTTGTTTATGTCACAACTATTAGCATTACACTCAGTGCTATATGGGAATTACGATTTATGAGTAACATTAGTGCAAAGAAGCATTACTAGGATTCTGTATGGTGTGAAACAGGAGTAGGTCAGTGTGTGTGTGTGTGTGTGCGAGAGAGAGAGAGAGAGAGAGACACCATGAGATACCTCACCAGGTGACACCAACCCTAGGAATGCCACTGATCTTGTAATGATAGAAGCTCATAAACACCACCAAAATAAATAAATAATCTAAAGCAGAAAAATGGAAGCATCTTTCATGAGGAAGAAAATTTGGGGGAAAAGTGGAGGGAAACTTTTTGTGTTTTAGACGCTCTGGGGAAAATGCTGACTCCCAAAGAGTAGAGCCAGAATGAGAAAAATTGTGAGATGGATACTACAGTTTGAATAAAAAATTGCAATTGTTCTGTGGTATGAGGCAGTATATATAAATGAAGCTTCTACTTCTTCTCATCAATTGCAAAATGACTTTTTTGTTTGGACAAAGCTATACACTGCCACAGTGTACGAGTACCACATAGATGACAAAAGTTGTTCTTTTCTTTTCTTTTCTTTTCAAACAATAATGATCAAAGAAAGCATTCATTTTTGAATTTTCTATTCCAGTATATAGAACAATTTATTGTTGAAGTTCCAGTTCCATTGTTTTGATGTTACAGTGGCTATCATTTTGCTGCATTTTAAATTCTCTTTTAAAGAGATAAATTATGAGAGGGCCAAAGCAGACGGCCCATCAGAAGAAGCCTCTGGACCTCTGGACCCAATCAGCCCAGGACAGCGTCGACTGGACAGCCCGCTCCTGAAGCAGGCCACCACTGCAGTCCCAAATGGGCCGCTGGCAGGAGCAGATTGAATCCACTTCTTTTGCCAATGGCTTTGAACCACCTTAGCTGGTCTCAGAGTGGCTCCTGGTCGCTATGGGCAGAGGGGATCGTATAAACACCACACCCCCAAAGCAGCAGGAGGCTGTTCTAGTTGGACTGTCTGTTTGGGGCCACAGATTTCATTTTCTTACCAGTTCCAAGTAACTGAAGTCTACTTTCAAACATTT